GGTTTTATTTTATAATTATATTATATTAAATATTTTAGGACCGGCCATTTCCAGCCTAATTGTCTATTGCAACGGCGACAGATAGAAATCAAAGACATTAGCCTATAAAACTTTTAAGAAGTACTGGGATTAAATAGAAGGACAATTATTTTTTAGCGATATCCAGAAGTGTCCAGGTTTTGAACAGCAACTGACATAGTAACTGGATATTCTCAATGTAAATAGTTCAACACGTGCTACGCGAGTGTCCGGTCCTATCAGAGTCCAACTTGGGCTAAGTCTGGACTACTGTAGCCAATCAGGAGGCCTTTGTGTAACATCCACCTTCTTTACAACATTAGGTTGACTGTTGGCGTTGGCTTAGATGAGATGTCCAATTTTGTCTAAGTGGTGTAGCCTTTTTGAATTGCACTTTAATCGGATTAAAAGGACACTCAGTAAAAATGCTCTTGTGCTAGTGTTAACGATATAACTTTATATTAACGGGTAATTAATTGATCTACGTATTTTATTAATAGGTTTATCATTAACTAGCGTGTACCCGCGACTTTAATCATTTGTAATGGTGATGATAAAGCAAAGCAAGAATTTCCATGAACTGGATAAAATTTTCTCACATTTATGTCAGCATGAGAAAAATCAATCGAGAAACCCCCTATATCGAACCTCTACACCCCACAGTCAATCCGTTTGCCAAAAAATCAGCTTTAAACGTCAAGCAGTTTAAGCAGAATCGTGATTACTCAATAGTCATATTTTATGAAACACCCTGTATAAATTTTTAAAAAATCTTAAAATATGTAAAGCAACAAAATAAAGTATACGTGTTTAAAAGTTTTTCCGAAAAACTCACCGGTTTTTGATTAAAAAATATTCTAATATTTGAGGGGTGGTTTCACCCCCTTAGAATTCGAGTTTCGAAAAATCCCTTCTTATCGAACCTCTATACCCTAAAGTCAATCCGTTTTCCAAAAATCAGCTTTTTACGTCAAGCGCTTTAAGCAGGATCGTGATTAATCAATGACCAGATTTTTCGAAACACCCTGTATACATTTTTTAAAAATCTTAAAATATGTAAAAAAACAAAATAAAATATACGTGTTTAAGCGTTTTTTCGGAAACTTGACCGTTTCTTAAATAAAAAAATATTGTAATATTTGAGGGGTGGTTTCACCCCCTTGGAACTGGAATTTCTAAAAATCCGTTCACATCGAATCTCTACACCCTAGAATCAACCTGTATGCCAAAATTGAGCTTCTTACGTTGAGTGGTTTGAGCAGGATCGTGATTAATCAGTGATTAATTCAGTCACTTACATCATTAGGATTTTATATATTAGTATAGATACGTTGTTTAATAAGTATTAAAAAACGGACATTAACGGCATTATATGCAAATATTTAAATGATGATACTACTTAGTCAAAATTAAAGAAGGAACCTTTTAATATGTGTCCAAAAGATTTAATTTTAATTTCATGTTGAAGATTCGCCAAATCTCTTATCTGTCCATAGCCGTACTTTGTACATAAACGTTGTTTATTGGAATCCCTATACTAAAAGGTTAAATGTCATTCAAATGATATAAGCCATCATTAGTTAATATTATTATGAGTAATTAATTTTTTCCTGATTTTTTTTTCGGTGGAATAATTTACTGTATAAATATAGATGTCATATTACGTTTATATTTTTTAACTTAATAAATACATTCGTATCGTTTATTTGCCAAATACGTATTAAAAGTCATTGATAAAAATTAAATATTGCCGAATAAGATTTGTTATAAAAACATAGATTTTTTTATTGTTGTAACTGAATTAATCTGGATTTGTACATATAAATGTTGTAGATATGTTCGAGAGTATTAGACAAAATTTGACTATTAACTTTGTCGATTCCTTTCCAAATAACTCATGAAGGCTATATGACTTTCTAATAATCTCTGATATAAATTGCGTTTCTATGAGAACTTGGTTCTGTATATTGTTATATTATATACATATCTGGTTTCATAGCGTTCTATGCCTTCCGGTTCCCAGTTCTCCTTCGATCTTCCCAATCTGGAAGTAAATTTCTTTCGGACATGGCTCGGTTAATTTTTTTTCCATTTTTGGCTACTTGTCTATTACGACATTCAGCCAAATTAATTCTTTATTAATTATGAGCGTTTAAAATCGGACAAATACAGACTCACACACACACATTTAACATCCATGTCCGGGCCCGGATTCGAACCGGCGACCTTGCGTCTACTATAAAGCGGCGCAATCATTTCGACCACAAGGCCGACTCGGCTAATGCCCTCAATCCAGGTAACTTTAGGTCTTCCTTTCTTTCTTCTTTCCGTTGGTGTCCATTTTAGGATTTGTTTTGGTAGACGTTCGTCAGCCATTCTCTCTACATGTCCATACCATATTAGTTGGCGTTGTTCGATTTCATCGAGGATAGTTTTCTTTACCGCCCATAATCTCTCTAATTCTCCCTTGGTTATTCGTTCTATTCTTGACTATCGCTGCTCGCCAGGATGCTAGCCGCGATGCATCCTACGCGCACTGTTTTAAAACGGCGAGTAAGTGCGCGTAGGATGCATCGCGACTATCGTACAAACATAGTGCGGGGCATTTCACCTCGATGCGATGCGCGCCATTCACCTCGCCATCCGGCGATGCTGAATCAACAGCTTGCACTTTCAATTTAGCTGAACTTGAATTAATAATTATTGATCACTGAAACCTAATTAAATTTATGCATTTTCTAGTCCAAACCAAACCTAATAGTTACGACTAGAAAGTTTCAGCTTTTCTGTAATAATATTTACTCTTAAAATGTAACTGTGGAAAGCAGTTACCATATATCTCGAGTTGTAGGCAATATTTAGAAATTCTACAAACACCGTTTCATTTATAAAAAAATATTTCAAGGTGAATCTTAATTAAAATAATATTTTTTTAATATCACAGACATAAGAAATTTTATATTGTATAGAATACCGGAATAATGGAAATTTTGCCTTATCTTGTTACTTTACTAAAAGTATCGAAAAGATAATTTTACAACTGGCGACAAGTTTAAAAAATCATTTTATTTAATTTTCGAAATATAATTAAAACAGAAAATGTTTATGATTAAAAATTGTTTAATAACATTCATATTTATGGAACACTTTATTTCATAGAAATTTGAATTTTACACAAATACAGGGGAAGTAGACCCGAACCTGTTGAGAATTATTGTTTTTTTGGCTATTTTACATAATCAATTGTATTATTGTAAAAAAATCTGCATATATAGTAAAATTGGTATGTATTTCTAAGCATTGAATGGATATATTTCTATGAACTTGCTATGACTATAAATCATAAACAAGTTACAGTCAAATGATTCAAATTAACATAATCAACTAAAGCGGGAGCTAACTAATGGTATGTACTGTTTTTTTTTATTTCCTATGGATAGACCTAGGTGTTCTTGTCTTGCTGTGGAAAATGTTTTTCAACGATAGGAGATTTTAATTACAACAGAATAGACCAGCAAAATAAAACACTAAATCACCACAATACACCAAAACACTTTTACATTTACACTGGACGCGCTTTTCACTAACCATGTTAGCATCATCAGCAGATGATTAAAACTTTTTGGCAGATTAAAACTAAAAAAAAACTTTTGAAAACAGATGATTAAAAAAGTTTTATTCATCTGCTGGTGATGCTAACATGGTTAACGAAACGCGCGTCCAGTGTAAAAGTGTTTTGGTGTATTGTGGCGATTTAGTGTTTTATTTTGCTGTTGTAACACCAACGGTTCCAACCCCCAACTGTAAGAATAGACCAATTTTTTATAAATCTTTATATAATATGTATATTTAACATTACTAATTATAACCATATAATCAGTATGGTATACCTATTGATGTGTAGCATCATATATTTCTATAAATATTGATATGGATAAATAGATAAGTTATCAAACATCCGTTACTTTTGTAATTTTCAACGAGCGGTAAAGCTACGTATACAGGGTCAAAAATAGTTAACATGAAATTGGTGTTCGAAATTTAGCAGTAATAATTTTTAGTTGTAATCTTTGAATAAGAAGACTAAGGAAGGAGCATAATGCTATCCATGTATTCATGCATGGTGGGCGGAAAAGGCACCATAAAAGCTCTCTAGGGTGGGGATCATTGACAGTTCTGTTTGACGATTCATTTGACACATTTGAATTTGATTTGAAATTTTGTGGATTTGTCAGTCTTTATGGAGCTTATTTTATGTTATTTATTATATATTCTACTACTGATAGTTATATAAAGGTAGTAAATCTAGATGGAAATTGTGGCAGAACTTAAATTAACAGTGACACTATCGCGATTTATCGAAAAAGACTTTAAAATAGTTGGTTGTGTAGCGTGCGGTAGATCTCGGCAAAAATTGAGTGAAATAATGGAACAACTTTTCGCTAGTAAGTGACTATATAATATACATACGTGTAGTAAACCGATCATTTATGAAATTCGCTTAAATTAACTAAATTATATATTTTTCTTGCATTTTAGATTTTATTTATTACTTGTCAAAGATTAGATGTCAAAGAATTTAGATACGTTAATTTGACTTACCTGCTTCAGTAGCGTATCGGATGTTTGTGTTAATAAATACTTATTATAACTTATCTATTTTTATTAGAATTATATATTTTATAACAATTTTAATAACTACCAACATTTATTCACAACGTAAAATAAAACAACAAATTATTGAGTCTACCCCACGTCTACCCTACATCATAGTTTTACATTTTTTAAATAAAATTAGAACGACACTGATAAACCGGAATTTAAGTCGGCCATATTTGAGGCCCATCGCAGTGTACCTAAGATTTTTGATATGCTCCTTCCTTAGTCTTCTTATTCAAAGGTTGTAATCTTTGGTTGTAATACTAAATTTCTAGGTTATTAGAAACTATGAATTAACATTAATGAATCATTCCTTTTTTCAGATGTACGGTGGTATGAGAGGAATCAAAGGTATGGTCTGGGAACCATCAGTGCTGGATCCCGATGAGGGTATTCGTTTCAGAGGCCTATCAATTCCAGAATGCCAACAACAATTACCTAAAGCCCCCGGCGGAACCGAACCTATTCCAGAGGGTCTTTTCTGGTTGTTGATTACCGGAGATGTACCAACTCAGGCCCAGGTAAGGAGGATCATAAATGCCGACTATTCAGAAAATTTTTTGCTACAATGTTCTTTCATACTTTTGAAATTTTTAGTATTGACTGAGTATTATTTTATTATAAGTTAGTTTTTACTTAAGTTTTTAGATTATTATTTGCTAACTTTTTAAAAATAAATTTCTCAGAATACCGCCACAAAGTACTTAAAAGTAATGTGCGAGTACATGTTTAAATACCTGTTTTATATATTAAAAAAACCGCATGATGTCTATGGAATTCTTTTAGTGGCTCTTTGCCAGAATAATCCAGTAACACTTAAGATATCGACAAAGGAAAAATTATTACTTATTACTGTAAGATCAGGGAATCAACTAAAACCGAAACTCATTATCAATTTTCTGTTTTAATTATCATTTTTTATGAAGTACCTACCGGGTGCGTCTCAAAAAAGGTTTACCCCTATAACTTTTTTATTTTTTTTAGATAAAAAACGAGATTTCGTTTGTTAGTGTATGATATAAATTAGGACTGATTGACGTATTCAGTTGTTTTCAGTCGCTTCCTGTTTTACCGGAAATGTCTACAACTTTTGATTTTTAAATGGCACCCTCCGTATTTTTTGACCTTATTTGATAGAAAATTACATTCTGAATAGAATGACATATCATATGTCAACTTTTGACATTTTCGCTTTAAAAAACATAGTATTTTAAATTTCAATCTAGAGTGCCATGGCTGTATTAAAAACACTAATTTTTAATCAAGGAGCCTTGGAAAAATAGATTTGATCGTCTAATGTTTTTAGTGTCTTCCTGGCCGGTTAAAATATGCCCAAATCGTAGTTTTAATCATATCACAATTTTTTCAAATGAAACGAGGGTGGTTCATTAGCATATTTCGAAAAAGCAATTTTTACGAATAATTTGGCACCACACACTTGGTATTTCGAGTCAAATTGTCGTTATGAACCGTATGTTGCAATGTCAAATAACCCACATGCGAAAATGTCCAAAGTTGACATATGATATGTCATTCTACTCAGAGTGTCATTTTCTATCGAATAAAGTAAAAAAACACCGAGGGTGTCATTTAAAAATCAAAACTTATAGTTATTTCCGGTGAAACCGGAAGTGACCAAAAACAATTGGATACACTCAGTCAATCCTACTTTATATCATATACTAACATACCAAATCTCGTTTTTCTATCTGAAAAAATAAAAAAGTTATAGGGGTGAGCCACTTTTGAGACGGTATATTTTTAATTATAAAAATTAAAATATTGCCAAATTAATTCAGGTGATAATCCGGTCCTGGTCAAATAAATATTCATGTCACATTATAACAAATACATATGTCATTAATTTGTTTTCTACCAGTTTATTTAAAACGTCCTAAATGATATTCTGTATAGAGCATTACAAAAGGCATACCGCATAGTTGATACTATCATTAAAAAATGTTTGTTGAATAAAACTAATTTTATATTTGGTAACTAAAAAAAAAGGAATTAGAAATCATTCAAATCAAAATGATCAATTTGCTTCACTCTAATGAATTCTTTACAAAGATTTATACAAGTTTTCTATTAAAATATAATGGGAAAATTCATAATTTTTAAAATTTACACGGATTTCCTGATTTTCTCTGTTCAGATCGGCAACTATATTTCATTCAACAACTGAAATTGGCGAAATAACAAACTTATTTATAATTACATTCTATTTTTGCTAACATTTGATATTATTAGTACAAAAACATATTTTGAAGAGAGTAATGGTTGCACTTAGAACTTTGGCCTAGTGCATATGTATTCTTTATGATAATCAAAAGCAAAACATTGATAATCTGAGCCGTTAATTTAATTAAGCTGTTAATATAGGCTTATTCATTTTAACTCTATGTTAAGCCCCGTCTAAACATAACGTTTTACCTTAAGCGTCGCCTAGACATAACTTTTTTATATATCAGTTATATATAATTCAGTTCCCGTAAAACATCCACTTTTTCGTCTATACACTCAATGTTTTACTTGATACATTTGACTGAACATGTAAGACGTAAGGTAAAACGGTATACCGGGTGCTTACCCCTATATCTTTTTTTATTTTTTTCAGATAGAAAAACGAGATTTGATATGTTAGTATATGACATAAATTAGGATTGATTGACGTATTCAATTGTTTTCGGTCACTTCCTGTTTCACCGATATATGACATAAATTAGGATTGATTGACGTATTTAATTGAAGAGCACACGGGAAAAACGACGAAAGTCCATTTTTTGCTAATTTGATGTTAATGCATAATATTTTTCGTCGTACAAAGCTACACCTTTTGGTACCTAAATAAAGGGGAATATCGATAACGGTTATAGAAACAGGCAAAACAGGCAGAAACATTTATCCCCTTTTTAGACTTTCATCGTTTTTCTTATGTGCTCTTCAACTGTTTTCGGTTAGTTCCTGTTTTACCGGAAATGACTACAAGTTTTGATTTTTAAATAGCACCCTCAGTATTTTTTTACTTTATTCGATAGAAAATGACATTCTGAATAGAATGACATATCACATGTCAACTTTTGACATTTTCTCATATGGTTTATTTTTTACGATTTGGGCATCTTTTAACCGGTCAGGACAAGACACTAAAAACATTAGACGATCAAATCTATTTTTCCAAGGCTCTTTGATTAAAAATTAGTGTTTAACATCGCCATGGCACTCTAGATTGAAATTTAAAATACTATATAATATATTAAGCGAGAATGTCAAAAGTTGACATATGATATGTCGTTTTCTATCGAATAATCTAAAAAAATACGAAGGGTGCCATTTAAAAATCAAAAGTTCTGGTGAAACAGGAAGTGACCAAAAACAATTAAATACGTCAATCAATCCTAATTTATGTCATATACTAACATACCAAATCTCATGTTTTTATCTGAAAATATAAAAGTTATAGGGGTGAGCTACTTTTGAGACGCACCCGGTATCTAAACCAGGCTTTACGTATACGGAAATAAATACGTCATCATTTTAGGAATATTTTTCTTTGTAGATGGATAATAATTTTATTCTGTATTTTAAAGGAGTTTTATTTGTTTGCTGTAAATCCAGGCGGCTTTTCCTTTTGTTAAAGAATTAAATTTTATAATGGCTGACGTAAGATATTGTAATATAATTAAAGGAAATCACGCAATAATGTAATAGTTAAATAAAGGTTTTTATTAATTTGTTACAAATTACACAAATTTATCATAATATTAAGTTGTATCAATATTTACATATTCTTGTGTCCGATGAAGGATATATTTTTATATACTTTATACTAATACATAATAATAATAATACTGAAATATTTCTGTAAAGCTAAATCTAATAACCTGTCAGTTATTTCTAAACAATTTTGTAAATTTACTTTATTTTTGAAACAATGCTAATGTAGTATATTTCTAAAAGCATCTTGTTAAAACTGCTGTAATAGTGTATGACCGAAAAAAAAAGCTTTCCAGTTGGCTTGGAACTGACGATCGATGACATTCCTTATCATTCTACAAATAAATAAAATGATAGCGATCTGCATGTCTAAAACACTTGTGGCGCTACGAATATGTTAATTTATTTTTTTCGGATTTAAACTATGTGTAAGCATGTAATGATGAAGTGCCAAAAAGGCTAGAATTTTCTGTTTTTTTTGTATACCCTTTTATACTGAATACCAATTCCACAAAATTTGTAATTACCAATATTGATAAAGTATAATTATGCTTAATTATAATATTATTTATTAAATCCTAATTTGTGATCATTATTCCTAGGCTAACGCTATCTCAAAGGAATGGTCTGAGCGCGCCGAACTGCCCCCACACGTGGTCAATTTACTTAACAGCTTACCCACCAACGTCCACCCCATGACCCAATTCTCTGCGGCCATCACGGTACTGAACAGCGAAAGCAAGTTCGCTAAAGCCTACGCCAGCGGTGTGCACAAGTCGAAATATTGGGAATACGTCTATGAAGACTCCATGGATTTAATTGCCAAGTTGCCCGTTATAGCGGCAACTATTTACAGGAATACTTACAAAGAAGGATCAGGTAAATTTTGTCATATATTATTGTTTATTCCGAAAGAGACAAGACGTATAATTGCCAGTCATACCATCCTCACTCATCCTTAATTATTATCTGTAGATAATTATGAAAGTGCACAATTTAAAATTTCCGAACGATTTACTCCACACAAACTCACAAGCAAAAGTACCGTAAAATGGAGTGAATAGAAACATAGTGGTGAATAGAAACAAAATTTCTGAAAAAAATCAAATCACGATTAAAAATGTTCAAAGTAAAAAGAGTCGACATATCTAATTTTTCTATCATTGGTAATACACAATAAAATGTAGATATAATATTTTTATCTGTGGCAGCACTGTTTCTGTCAATCAGCTGATCAATAAATGTGAGATCGATTTATCACCTATTTTGTATGGCGCGAAAACTTTATAAATAAAATGTTTATTTTTAAAGTAATACATAAGCTGGTACATGTAAGTTGTCATATTATATGTATTGTTATTTATTGTTAAACCTACTTAAATATGTAATAATTTACTGTTTCTAATCACCTTGTTGGAAGTAGAATAGATAAAAACCTAAACATCAATGTGTGTTTCTATTCTCCCCAATAGCAGGTGAATAGAAACACAAATGTTATTTTTATTTAATATTTATATGCATATTTTTCAAAAATCAAATTATATGTACACGCAAAGAACAAACAAAGACCCATGTTTTAAAATATTCGGGAAAATAATACCACATTTTTATCAACCGGTATATCGCTAATAGCCTACGAAACTGTTTCTATTCACCCCATTTTACGGTATAACGCACACGTATTCGAATTCGTAAAAAATAACCAAGACAGAAGCATCAGCCGGACGCCGGACCAGAATCAGCTGTTAAAAATCGATAATCCATGCCAATATGCTTTAAGGTCTGTTCCCAGAAGGAATCACTGACTAGTCAGCACGTTTCTCATTGATTAACATACATAGAAACCTGATTGTTAGTCTGGTTTCTACACATTTCAACCAATAAGAAACGCGCTGACTAATCAGGGATTCTTCTGGGAACGGGCCCTTAATGCGCAAGTCAACCCAAACAGTTCTCAAATTGGATCATGTACCGAAATTATCGTTCTGAAATCGTAACTAAACGATCCCAAGGTAGGTTGGTACGCAAATAGAATCGTCCGATAACCGTCAAATCTCGGTTGGAACACATTTGAATTACTGCGCACGAGCGTGATCGTTCGGTAACGGTTCTGCGGCGGGTTGGAACAGACCTTAGTTTACGTACGGATCGGACAGCGCGAGACGGGACTGGAGAGTGTCATCCGTATGTTACTGTCTCAGACCGCAGGGACTGAGAGGAACTAGATGAACTAATTAAATGACTAGTTCACGGGAATCTATTCAGTCGGCAGATCCGAGATATAATACAAGGCGACGACGATGGATTCGGCCTTGCCACAGTATATTGTACTGTCTATTGCCACAGTATTTGCCGGTGTAATTATCACAGAAAATTGTCATGGATACTGTTTTTGATTTTTAGTTTGTTTATAAATATATAAATAGATTATTTTATGGGAATGTTTCACTTTAGGTCCCTAAAATTAAGAAATATGTTATAAAACGAAGTAGATATTCTGAATTTTTAGACAAAAATAAAAAAGCTTGAAGTAAGGAAAAATGCATTTTTTCGTAAAATTTTCGTATTATTTGCTCCAATTTATTTGTGATATAGTTTTTTAAACTCTGATTTGAGTTTCTTTTTTATTTTTTTTTTATTTGCAATAAAACTTACCTATATGTTTTTAACATACGCAATTACACGTCTCGTTATATTTCGTAGATTATAAAAATTATACAGATCATACTGTGAATAGTTCTGACTGACAACGATACCCATTAGCAAGCAACGGGGATCTCAATATTAGTCGGGAACTATTGTGAACTAAAGACCTAGTTCAAGGAACTATTCCTCTAGAGGAACTAGAATTCCCACCTCTAACTGGGATATCGTTTCTTAAATTACGTATCTTAATAATGTGTTAATATTTTTAAAATTTGATGCCTTCTAACAAGACAAACGAAGCATTTTTTACATAGGTAAATCGCGTTAAATTAACTTATTTTATATTGCAGCAACTTGTATTAATGCTGAAATTTTACGAAACTTGAATAAGTATATTTATTTTTGAATTACAGGAATTGGAGCCATCGACTGCTCCAAAGATTGGTCTTTCAACTTCTCGCAAATGTTGGGATTCGACAATCCCGAATTCATCGAATTGATGAGGCTGTACCTGACGATCCACAGTGACCACGAGGGTGGTAACGTCTCCGCTCACACCACTCACTTGGTCGGATCCGCCCTTAGCGATCCATACTTGTCTTTCGCAGCTGGTATGAACGGTTTGGCCGGTCCCCTTCACGGTTTAGCCAACCAGGAGGTAAGTTCCTGGGTGACGTGAATAATATACAGCGTGGTCCGAATTGTATTCTGGAAATTTCGGCATCATATTCTGCAGATAAAAATAAGTAAAAAAGTCAATATGACTCCTACTTGTAGATGGCGCCACCTACATATTTTTTAACTAGTTTGAAGAGTAATAAGAGCTACGAGTAATGGTTCTCGAGATATTTGGAATCAAAATTATCAATACCTGTCGCCACTGATATAAATTGAACATGTTGATCAAATAGTTATTAGACTGAAATCATAAATTTGGAATATTTTTGTGCCAAAAGTTTAACAGAAACTGTTTTATCACCATTTTTCCGAAGAAACATTTATGATTAATTTGAAAAAATAAAAAAATTCCCAAATTTATCATTTCAGTCAAATAACTATCTACTTTTATATGTTTATTTTCTTGTCAATAATGACATGTATTGACTATTTCCATTCTAAATATCTTGAGAATGGTTGCTCGTAGCGATTTTTAAGAAGAAACATTTTTTACGTAAAAAATCAGGAAAATGTATATTTTTTCACCCAGTAGTTATATACAGGTAGGGACGAAAAGTTATTACTCTTCAAAACAGTTAAAACACATGTAGGTGGCGCCCTACAAATAAGAGTCATATTGACATCAAAATCAAATTTCTGATGTCAAAAAACTCCCAGACTCCAATTTTCATCTAAATATTGACGTTACTTCAGAAATTATTTTGAAAAAATTAAAATAATAATTAAATTTCTACACCTTGTATCTCCGAAGCTAAGCATTTTAGGACATTATATTTATACGAACTTTTTTTATTTATTTTTATATGTGGAATATGCTGCCGAAGTTTCGGGAATACAGTTCGGACCACCCTGTATAGACAATATAGTAGACATAGGCAATATACAATAGACAATCAGTAGAACAAATTATTTTCTCTTATACCGGGTATTTTCAAAAGTGGCTATCAATTGTTTATTTTTTCAGATAAAAAGACGAGATTTGGTATGTTAGTTATATGACATAAATGAGGAGTGATTGACGTATTTGATTAGTTTCGTTTGCATCTTCCTGTTTCACCAGAAATGGCTATAACTTTTGATTTTTAAATCAAAATCCTTGGTATTTTTTTACGTTATTTGATAGAAAATGACATTCTGAAGAGAATAGTATTTTCAATATCAATCTAGTGTGTCATAGCTTTGTTAAATCCACTAATTTTTAATCAAGGAACCTCGGAAAATAGATTTGATTGTATAATGTTTTTTGTGTCTCTTCCTTGCAGGATAAAAGATGTCCAAATCAACTTTTTCAAATGCAACGAGGGTGGCAACGAATATGCTAGTAAAGGCAATAATAATAATAATATTTAGAAAAGGCACATTCTTAAAAAATTAAATAAAAATAAAAATAATTTGGTACCACATACTTGATATTTCGAGTTAAATCGTCGTTATATTTATTGTCGTGAGAGTCTAGATTGAATTTTAAAATATTATTTTTAAGCGAAAGTGTCAAAAGTTGACATACTATATGTCATTCTATTCAGAATGTAATGAAAATGAATGAAAAAATACCGAGGGTACCATTAAAAAGTCAAAAGCTCTAGTCATTTCTGGTGAAACAGGAAGTGACTAAGTTATTGAATACATCAATCAGTCCTGATTTATGTCATATATTAACATACCAAATCTCGTTTTTTTATTTGAAAAAAAAAGGGGTGAGCAACTTTTGAAAAACATCCTGTATATAATAACATTTACCAATATTTTCAAGAATTTTTTTTGAAATAAGTTCAAAATATAATCAAAATTATATTTACTTTCAGTTCTAAATGTCTTCCCTAGAAATATATTAATTTAAGAATAGTAATTAATAACTAATATTTGTATCTTATGCTTGCAGGTGCTCTTGTGGTTGATCAAATTGCGCGAACAAGTCGGTGACAAATACACCGAGGCTCAATTGAAAGATTTCATCTGGAAAACGCTCAAATCCGGCCAGGTGGTACCCGGTTACGGACACGCCGTATTGAGGAAAACGGATCCACGTTACTCGTGCCAACGAGAGTTCGCCCTCAAACGCTTGCCAGAAGATCCTTTGTTCAAGGTAAGTACCAGGGCAAAACCTGTGTCAATAGACTTGTTACCAGCAAAATATGAAATTCGACATTGTATAGAATTCTAAGATATTTTATAAAATTCCAAGAACTATCAGGCATTGTATGAAATAAATTATATTGTACACGTCCCCTAGGTATTTTATAGAATACCGATTTGATAATCGGTAACGTACGGAATATAATGCGTGCATTAGGCAGTAGCGAATAAAGTCTGCCTTTCTACTCATGGGTGTTGAGTATCCTGTCTCGATACTCGCGGATATCAAGACAAAATCGTATTAAATATAAACAAAAAAAAAGATGAAAAAAAAGGTTGAAACCAAAACAATCAAAACTTATTCGTGCAACTAGCGGCAAAGTTTTATGGTACGTGCTGAAAATGAAGAAAAAACAAAAGCAGCAAAACACTTGCACTAATGAGTTTTCATTGCTTTGGTTTGAACATTTTTTTCCTGATTTTTTTATCCTTTTTACCGGAACAACCCGATTTGGTCTGAGTATCTGAATAGAACGGCATCAGACTTTATTCTCTAGTAAATTTGGCAAATATGCTTGTAACGCAACAAGTGTTGACATTCAAGTAATAGTTTATCTTGCAAAAACAAATAAAAAATCGGTTTCAATAGGTTTGAAGGAATATTTCTGCGATATTTATTACGTTCCTGTTACCTTTTTTTAAGTTAAAAGTTTCTTTAATTTAAGGTAAAGTTTAATTAATACTTTTAAATATTTTTATTTCACACCTTTTCTTAGGTATTCTATGAAATTCCTAGGTATTTCATGACATGTCACAGGTATATAAAATCACACAGGTAAAATATACACAAACTTATACCGTGCTGGCAACTGTTACTTTTGGGTCGGTATTAACATGTGTGGAAATAAATTGCATAGGAATCTTATTAAGTCGGAGTGAGAGAAATGCGACGGTGTTCTGTTGCGGCGTTGCCACATTTCTCCGGTACGCCTTTCCCTATCAAGTAAATTAAAATCACGATCGCAAACCGCTTATTTTTAAAACTTTTTTTTTTCAAAAAGATAAGTAGATAAAATCATTGAATATGTTTCTGACCATCTGAAATGGAATTATAAGGATATTGTGGGAGTGTCCATTTTTTTATAACGAGAATACGTCAGTAATCGCGATAATTTAAAATCTCATCTGTTTAACACATAACACGCGATAACTCGATCAAGAACTACTTTAGATATTGAAACTTTTTTTATTTTGAAGTTTATTCGGATCTTTTACAAGATATTTAAATAAGAAAAAAATCGATAGGTTTTTTTTCATTCTTGTTTTTTTCATTTCATTTTTTCAAATTTTAAAAAACCCATCGTGTAACTTTTTATAAAGATTTTCACATACTGTCTGCGAAGAGAATATAGCAGAAATATTAAGAAAATTTTTGAGAAAAACTACAATCAATTGTTGGAGATATCGATTTTTGAATTCAGAGTTCTAATAGTGCAACTCAACTCAATTCCACTTATTTTTACCAAAAAAAGCGCAAGTGTTTCTTTCTAACTTGCACTCGAAAATTTACAAGCTATAGGGAAAATTACAAAGACTCGTTAATAAATTAACAAATAAAATATCAAGAGTATCACGAGATAGCAATGTGCCTTCCACGTCTCTTAGCAATGTGCACAGTTTCTCGGTTTATTTCATACGTTTGGCAACGTTTTTACTGTTCTCTCTTTGTTCAGTACATCATAAACACATTGTAACTCTTCTTACATACGGAAATCTCGACCCAAAACTAACCTTTGCCAGCTCTTAGTATATATTGTTAGTCATTTTATAGAGTGCCTAGAATTTATACAGAATACCTTAATTTTATACTTTGCCGGTAACAGACACTCTTTTAATGAAGTTTAAAGGTTAATTTTTTTTATTGGACACTGTCAGCGTTCTTTCTTTAAGAATTGTAAACATTTTAACCATTAATACGTTAAGATGTATTATATTACAAATGTAATACACCTAATTAAGTAAGCTTTAAAAATAGTATAAGATAATTATTTTGAAGACATTAAAATTTGTGTCTTATTAGTCTGTTATATTTTACCACAATTGTATTTTTAGTTGGTATCCGATGTTTACAAAGTGGTTCCTCCAATCCTTACTGAATTGGGCAAAGTTAAGAACCCATGGCCCAATGTAGATGCCCATTCTGGAGTTCTTTTGCAGGTAAGATTTTTGTTTAATCACCTATCCGACTCTTTGTATTTATTATTTTTATTGAACTTTAATGTTTTTTAACCGTATGTCTTTATATTTCTGTCAACTGGTTATAACCTAAATCAACTACATTTATCTTTGTCTTACTCGTTAAAAAAATCCCCAATTTAGTCAGGCCGATATACGATTTTGATTAATCAAAATTAGTGAAATACACGGCAAATGTTAAATTTGGAGAAAATGATCTATTTTTAAATGTATACCGGTCTAGTAATTCTATATCTGTGGTCTGTATCTTAATGAGCAAGACAAAGAGTTATAAAATTGTCTTATGTTAAACCAGTATATTATACAGAAAGGTCCACAGACTTCGAGACATAGGAAAAATCAAGTCCATTTAGTGTGTGTCGCAATTTTCACACCTTAAAAAATTAGTTTTTTATAGCTATAGCAACTGCAGCGACTATGAAAAAAGTTGTGTGGCTTTCATAGAAAATAAGGGCACCTGCAATTCATTTGAGAATGTTATAAATCGCTAAAGGAGGTTTCAAATCTCTTGGATTCTATTAATATTAAATAAATTTTATTAAAAATTGAACTAAAATTGTTAGTATCATTAAAAACAATTCAAATTCAAAAATTGTATCAGTCAAATTCCCTCATTTAAGGTGAATATTAAAGTAAATATAAATACAGCTCATTCTAAGCTCTACTTATCTTTAAGAAAAATTTAAATCATTGGTGCAATTGGGCCTTAATGCCATTTCGAATGAATAATAGTATTAATAATGTACAGCTGGTTCCAATAAAATTGAATACGATTTAAAACATATTTTTATTATTTCGGGCAGTATATTCTATGATACCAGTCACCCATTTCTCTACTCATGTCATGCTGACGTTCTGAAAAATTTATTTGGCACTTTGTCAAAAGCAAAGTTGTTTTATACAATGTCACAATAACCTTAACATGCCAAAATACTTGACACATAAATATACACTGCCCAAATATTCGAAAAAAATGTGTAAAGAGTCGTATTCATTTTTTTTGGAACCAGCTGTACATTATAATAATAATAAATTTTATATCATAGTGTGTATTAAAACTACTAAAACACTTTTAAACTGGTATTATATTAACAACTTTTGTTTTTTTAATTCAAAAGAAATAAAAGTAACAAATTTCTCAATCAAAATATTTGTGGTGAAGTTGTTTATGTCTCGAAGTCTGTGGACTTTTCTGTATAGACAAACAAATAATGCAGGGTTGTCGGTTCCTACGTATAGTAGGCAATATTTAAGATTGGGGAGATAGAAATAAAAATCGAATAAAGTGAAACACGGAGAGAATGTATAATTTTATGAATAATTTAATTATGCGACTTGTATGGGGTATTAGAATTGTAGTAAAATCACTTTATATTTTAATTATTGATATTTAACGGTTTAATCTTTATTGTATTACTACCCGAAACGCTTTCTGGATCAGTATTTAACCTTTTAATTCAAAATAGGCAGCAAAACCACATAGTAATATATCACCCCACTCTTTATCTCGCTTTAACACGTTTTAATTTCCATTAGGGTATCTTCATAATTATCTGACACGTTAAAATCCGGATTTTGGATGGCTAGTTCTGTATATTTCGTAATTAGTTGTCTTCTAGTATTATACTAAATTTTATAACAAATTTTGAAAATTCAGCAAAAGTGATAATGGTACCAGAACAATCGTTACAATTGTTACTGTAGCATATTAATTGAAAACTTGTTTTTATAAATCTCTTTTACAATGTAATTTTGTGATATTTTAGTAAACAATCAAAATGCTGGTTTTTCGAAGGACGCTTTTACTTTTAAAAATATTTTATTATACAAGGTTAAGAAAACTATAAGGTATATTTGATTAGATAGTTAAATTCAACATATCTTTCAATCATTAGGTTGATAAGAAGTCACTTTTCCTGTTAATATATTAATCTTAAATTTTTTCAATTTTATTTTTCGGTAAACTTTTTGTAGAAATCTCGTTCCTGAATAATAATAACTAAAATTTATATTTTTTTTTCAGTATTATGGTTTGAAAGAAATGAACTACTACACCGTGTTGTTCGGCGTTTCGAGAGCGTTGGGTGTATTGGCCGCCCTCGTCTGGGACAGAGCTCTTGGTTTGCCCATCGAAAGACCAAAATCCTTATCCACCGATGGACTTATGGCCTCCCTCAAGTACAAATAGATTCATCAATTATTGTAAATAAGTTCCAACACCGTTAGATTCGTCGCTCAGAACGGGGTTTGCTGAACTTGCCGTTTCTGAACGTAGAATCGATCTCGTCTAAAATCGTTTCCCATGTGATCGTTAGAGTGATTAGATGGCAAAATGATTCCGGTAATTTTTTCCGTTCGACCCCCAGTGTTAATATTGTCAATCGTTTTACTATTTTATTTATTTATTCCGTTTTTGGGAACAGTGTAAATTTTTATTTGGCGCATCGTGGTGCGGCTTTTTGGTTAAGTATCACTTTATTTTTAATTTATGACCGGACGGTACAAGCTAAACGCCTGTTACTTTGTAAGTATTTAAACGTGTTGTACAGTAATTTTTGTAAATTAATTATTATTCCGTAAAATGTAATTAGAGATCAATAAACAAGACAATACTTATTATTAAATCAAAACAGAACAAAATATTTTTTTTTTTAATTTTAATACCTTTCCTAATTCCCTATTACTTTTATTATGTGATATCAAGAAATATACAGGGTTGTTCACCACATACGACACGGAGTATTGTAGCTAAACGATGAGATTTTTACAAATTGTAAAGTTTTGGGTTCGTTGGGAAACTATTATAATATAAAACTACAATTTAAAAATATTTTTACAAGATACAGAGTGTCCCAAACAAGTAAAAAATATTATAGTTGTATTTTTTTAAATGGAACACCCTTTATATTGTTCTATTTTTAGATTCTACGATTGAAATAAAGGTAAATTTTCAATTTTATGAAATTGGAGTAAAAATTTTAAGATTATTTATTGATCAAATATTGTGTTGCAATAATAAAAATTAGACTAGGTTAGGTACCTTATGCAGAGTGTTCAAAAATTTATATTAAATAATTACTAGCTTTAAATGGCAAAAACTTGTTTAATTTAAATGGCACACCCTGTATAGTTTACGTTAATCAGATGCACAATTTAATTGTGTATCAAATTGTATTATGCCATTTTTTTTCTATCTCTTCAAGTCTTCGTAGAAAAAGCATTTTTTTATATGTGTGACAGATATTACTTTTTTGATAGAATTTTCAAAATTTGGGTGTATATCCTTGTTTATATACAGGGTGGTCCGAATTGTATTCCGGAAACTTCGGCAGCATATTCTGCAGATAAAAATAAGTAAAAAAGTTCGTATAAATGTATGTCCTAAAATACTTAGATCAGAGATACAGAGATCCATGGTGTAGAAGTTTCATTTTTATTTCGATTTTTTTCAAATAATTTCTGAAGTACCGTCAATATTTGGATGAAAATTGCTGTCTCGGAGTTTTTTGACATAAGAAATTTGATTTTGATGTCAATATGACTCCTACTAGTAGAGGGCACCACCTACATATTTTTTAACTAGTTTGAAGAGTAATAAGAGCTACGAGTAATGGTTTTCGAGATATTTGGAATCGAAATTATCAGTACCTGTCATCATTGACATTAATTAAACATTTTGACTAAATAGTTATTAGACTGAAACCATAAATTTGAAAGGTTTTTGTGCCAAAAGTTCAACAGAAACTGTTTTATCATCATTTTTTGCAGAAAAATTTATGATTAATTAAAAAAAATAAAAATTTCCCAAATTTATTATTTCAGTAAAATAACTATCTACTCAACGTGTTTATTTTTCGTCAATAATGATATGTATTGACTATTTCCATTCTAAATATCTTAAGAACGGTTGCTCGTAGCGATTTTTACCAAGGGATGTTTTTTAGGTAAAAAGTCACAGAGATGTATATTTTTTCGCTCGGTAGTTTTATACAGGTACAGACAAAAAGTTATTACGCTTCAAAAGAGTTAAAACACATGTAGGTGGCGCCCTCTACTAGTAGGAGTCATATTGACACCAAAATCAAATTTCTCATGTCAAAAAACTCCCAGACACTAATTTCCATCCAAATAATGATGTTTCCTCATAACCCAAGCAGCATTTGGACGTCGGGACAACGTTGTGTCACGCGACCAAACGTCGGGGCGCGACGTCGGCACAACCTCGTGCCAACCCTAGTCTGCACTAGTTTGGAGAATAATTTTTGGGTCGAAACGACGTTGGATACCGACGTTGGCTAGCAGCCTAATTTAGTACAAACTGCAACTTTGTTTAAAATCCTAATTCACAGAAATACAAAACTAATATGGCGTCTAAGTCGCGTTTTAGCCTAAATTGGGATAATTATAGTAAAAATATTATTTTTATGATTTAGTTAGAGACATATGTCAGATGGCAGTGAAGGAAAACAAAACAAAAGTATTTAAGTGTGGAGGATGTTTGAAGATCATAATTATTGAAACACTTTAACCGACTCTGTAACTCGTTGCCCAAGGCAAAAAAGTTAAACGCAAACAACTTTATTGATAAATGTATTGTTCCTACTTTGAAAAATACCTAAATGGGCTAAAAATTAAAGAAGTTTTAAAATTTTTCTTGAATTTTTTTTTAGTAAAATGAGAATAATTTATTCGCAGTCGAAAAAATTGTTTCCGCGTGTTCAAAAAGCAGGAATTGATATTTTAGGAACGAAACATTTTCTTATTTAACAACATGGCGGCTTTCACTTTGTTGTTTTGGAGATTAAGATGGAGTAGTTCGAGTAGTCGCATACTGGACTAATAAAGTCGCAGTTCGGCCTTAACAGGTAGTATACTAGTCGCAAGATTGCCTAATTTAGTCATCCTAGAGTCTAGCTTGTGCCGCCCTCTATAATCTAAATAAACGAGGGAGTGGATAAACTATCGGTAATATATGTCGATGTATATTTAAATTTAGTTTTATATGTACCTTTCTTATGTCCCATTTTAATTAAGTTTTTTTTTATAAAAAGAAAAACAGTTGCAGAAAGGTAGTGACTCGACGTCCTACCAACGTAAGAATAAGGAAATCTAAACAACGTTGGAATTAGTAAAACAGACGACGTTTGCATAACGTTGGAATAGGTCCTGAAACTGACGTCGGAAAACTCTATATTGTCCAACGTTGTAACTACGTTGTCCGAGTCACCTAAAGATCACTTAAGCAAAAATGGTTACAAGACAACGTTTATTCGACGTCGCAGAAGCTTCTACTTTGCTGTAGTACTAGTCCAACGTCGGCACAACGTTATAAAAACGTTTAAATTTATTTTAATATCTAAGGTAGGGAGCTAACTATTTTTTGTAACTAATCCAACGTTGTGTTTAGTAAACATGTGGTCGCAAGTCGTGAAAATGCTACTTGGGAAATTATTTGGAAAAAATCGAAATAAAAATGAAACTTCTACAGCCTGTATCTCCGAAACTAAGCATTTTAGTACATACATTCATACAAACTTTTTTACTTATTTTTATCTGCAGAATGTACCGCGGAAGTTTCCGGATTTTTTTTTGTTTCACTTTTATTTCGATTTTTTCCAAATAATTTCTAAAGTAACGTCAATATTTTGATGAAAATTAGAATCTGGGTGTTTTTTGACATGATAAATTTGATTTTGATGTGATTATGAGTCCTGTTTGTATAGGGCGCCACATACATGGTGTTATAACTGTTTTGAAAAGTAATAACTTCGTCCGTACCTGTATAAATCTAATGAGTGAAAAAATATACATTTGTGATGATACATTACGTGAAAAAATGATGATAAAGTATTTGAAATTTATGATTTCAGTGTAATATCTATTTAGTCAATATGTTTAATTTATGTCAAAGCTGACAGGTATACCGGGTGCGTCTCAAAAGTGGTCCACCCCCTATAAGTTTTTTATTTTTTCAAATAAAAAATCACGATTTGGTATGTTAGCATATGACATAAATTATATTGGGGATTGATTGACGTATTCAATCCTTTTCGGTCATTTCTTGTTTCACAGTAAATGACTACAACTTTTGATTTTTAAATGGCATCCTCTATATTGTGTTACTCCATAGAAAATGACACTCTGAATAGAATGGCATATCATATGTCAACTTTTGACATTTCGAATATGGTTTATTTGAAATTGCAACATGGGACTCATAACGACAATTTGGCTCGAAATACCAAGTGTGCGGTACCAAATTATTTGTAAAAAAATGATTTTTCTAAATATGCTAAAGACCAAACCACCCTCGTTCCATTTGAAAGAAATAAGATTTGATTAAAAATACGATTTGGGTATCTTTTAACCAGCCAGGAGAAGACACTAAAAACATTAGATGTTGAAATCTATTTTCCAAGGGTTCTTGATTAAAAATTAGTATTTTTAACACAGCTATGGCACCCTAGATTGAAAATTAAAATACAATTTTGTTTTAAGCAAAAATGTCAAAAGTTGACATATGATATGTCATTCTATTCAGAGTGCCATTTTCTATCAAATAAAGTAAAAAATACCGAGGGTGTCATTTAAAAATCAAAAGTTGCAGTTTATCTGAAAAAAAGTAATAGGGGTGAGCCACTTTTGAGACGCACCCGGTAGATAATTTTGATTCCAAATATCTCGAGAACCATTAGTCGTAGCGATTTTTACCAAGAGACCTTTTTTCGTAAAAGACGACGTAAATGTATATTTTTTACACAGTTGTTTTATACAGGTACGGACGAAAAGTTATTACTCTTCAAACCATTTAAAAATATGTAGGTGGCGCCCTCTACAGGTAGGAATCATATTGACATCAAAATCCAATTTCTCATGTCAAAAAACTGCCAGACACAAATTTTTACCGAAATTGTTTGGAAAAAATCGAAATAAAAATGAAACTTCTACACCCTGTATCTCAGAAAGTAAACATTTTAGGACATATGTTTATAAGAACTTTTTTACTTATTTTCATCTGCAGAATATGCTGCAGAAGTTTCCGGAATACAGTTCGGACCACCCTGTATAGAAAGAGATAGAATTTGACGCGAAATCTAAAAGTAAAATAAAAAATATTGCTGTTGTATTTAGAAAAACATCCGCCACACTTTTTTGAACAACTTTTTGTACTCAAAAATACTTTTGAATTGTGTATCTTAACGTTCCCTATATTTTTTAATATTGTAATTTTCAAAACAAACTAGATAATAAATTTTATCGTTACTCACCCTGTACACCATTTGGACCACATCTTTTACAATCAAATGTTTAGAACGTGATACGTGATTGTAAATACGTTTTACAAACCCTACTGGGATGAATGATGACAGAATTAATTTTTCTGGGACTGATTTTGTGTTGATTTTCGAATGAGAAAATCGAGAGAATTTAACTCGAATGAGATATTTGTTATTATTCATTTGTTATTAGCTGGCCTACAAGCTAGCGCGGTTTTAGACGAGGGGTAATGGGGTAATTACACCCCCCCTAGACTCATCAAACTTCAAAAAAATAATTTAGTAAATTTTACATTAATTTAAACGTCAAATGAAAAATTCCCCCTTAGCAATTTATTATATCGCCGGTGAAATGTAATAACTGCTAACTCCATTATTCCTAATTTTACAGGAGAGAAAAAAACGGTACAAAAAAATATGTACACATGTAGGAAGTATTTTCATGCGTTAATATGATAAAGAGATAAGAATTTTATTTGTTGGGAAACAATATAACTCATTATTTCGTGTTACATAATTTTTTTCACACACAATAGGGAGTTAGCAGATATTCGTCTTGCAGAAATAAGAAATAAAAATATACTTCTGGAGATAGCAACCTTTATTCTTTGAAATTTTGAAAATGGAATTGAATATCACCCAAACAGATCTAGAAATAATCAATTAAATTTAAAAAATATGATATTCATAACCATATATTTATAATATCGTCGGTCTAGAAGCAAAACATGCAAGTCCAAAAACGAATAAATTTTTGTTAAGTGTTATAATTTGTGGTGATAAGAAAAATGAAAAGACTTGACAGTTGAGAGTAAGAATATGGCGCGAATAAAAAAGTACCATTTTTTGTTTAAAGTGTTTGTAACTTTACTATTAATATATTAAGTTCAGTATTAGTAGATACAGTTTTGATTCCTAAACACGACCCAAATCCAACAATTTTTAATGCATTTTTAAAGATCTGAAGTAGCAGCATTTTGGACTTAATGAATATGAAAATAATTTAAAAATTAAACTTATAATTCTTAGAAGATATGGTAGAATCCTTCCATTCTTATCCTAATTTTTATATAACGGTAGTAGACCGAGCTTGGAAAACCAGTGCGTGATTTTATTAAATTTTTATTACTTTTCCTTATTTTTTTCCTTATTTTTTTAATTTTTATGAAAATTATATATCATTTACGTGGAAAACGTTGAAAAAAAAAATAAAACTGATTAGGTATTATGGAAATTCTTGTACAAATAAGTAATGTTACTTAAACTATTTATAGCACGCCAATGAATTGCTCGTATATAGAGATTTCGTTTTCCCCCTTACCCTATACGGATACCCCGTATTTACAGAACGGATCGACGCAGGGTCGGATTGACAATATTATATGTATAACTATTAGGGGGGCCTCAGCCTTCGCGGGCCCCCTTTATAGTTCATTATTTATTCTTAACAACATATGCTTTTGAATTGCATTATGGCATTTGCATTGCATCGGTTTACCTTGCATTAGGGTAGTTCCCTGATTTCTATACAGGGTGAGTCTTAAATAAGTGCAAATATTTTAGGGCTGGTAAATATCGATAAAAGAAACATAATAATTTTTCTCTACCGTTTTTTCAAATAAATCCAAAACAACCGAGTTATTTCACTTTTAAAATTTCCAATTTTTTGCTATAATTTTGAGAATCATTGGATTTTCTTTCTTGTAAATTTAATCTACTACCTATATTGCCATATTACAAAGTATGTTTTTAAACTAAAAATTAAAAAAAAAATCATTTTTTTTTTAAAAATTCCAAATTTTCAAGAAAAAAATTTCGCCCAAAAAACCTCAAAATCGTGTTTCTTGGGTCGAAATATACTACCCCTAAAAATATTTGCATTTATTTAAGACACACCCTGTATATAATAGGGAAAAATTGACCAAAATATAAGGCGAAAAAATAGACCTAGACCTTCTTACATTACCACCCGGGCCCCTTTGGTCTAGTGCGACCCTGGATCGAAGTACTGTCCTAAAGAAATATACGAGTAAGAATCCGTGTGTTTGCTTTAGCGTGATCGTAACGGAAATTATGGACTTAGCATTATTTCGGTGGCTATTTCAGATCACTGGGAGTTAGCAGATATTATTGAGTTAAAATTGCAAATTTTCTTTAATGGAAAAAAATGTATTTGCTTTCCCTACTTATAGAGTATTTTTTTCTCTTTCTAATGGTATAAAAAACTTATTAACGTAAAAAATGGAGTTAGCAGGTTATCACGTTTCACTGACGATATATCACATTTCTGAAAAAATGTCTATACTGGTCTATACCTATGTGGGCCGGATTCATCTCTCCAAAAAATCCTATATGGGTATTTCGCCACTGCATTTTTTTAAGAGAACGTCAACGGTTTTTGTAGACGTATCTGTTTTAAAAAACTAAAGTGTTGTCGAATAGCTGAATTTAATTTTTTTTCTTTATTCTTTGTATTTTTTTGCTTCCGATGACGGAAAGGGATAAACTTTCCGAAACGTTAAGCATTTTTTTGTTCGTTAGGCAAATTTGTATATCTGTAAACCGAACTTCTGACAAGTAGTTTCCGTTTGGGATTAACGCAGAAGTGTTTACAAAAAATAACTATTTTATTTTGTAGATTTTCTTGCAGTAGCGATATACCCATATAGGATTTTTTGGAGTAATAAATAATATTCTTAATTTTAAATCGGTGTACCTATCTGAAATCGTACTCGAAATATAACTGTGTGATCGACGCAACATTACGTATGTATCCGACCCCATAGGGCGTCACGTGAACGTATATCCATTCCGAATATCCGATCGAATCAAGAACAAGCGGATGAGAGGATCCGCTTGTTTCGTGATCGTCGTGAGGCAAATTAGTATTCTCATTCGAACCACCAGTCGAAGGGTCCCAATAACCACTGCGGCGTGTGGTAGTAGGAAGTAGGAGTAAACATTTTTACAAGAATTCTTTGTTTTCAGATTCGGGAGTATGAAATCCTACACAAAGCTTCCTTAATTGATGCAATTGAACACAAAGAAGCGACTTTTATTCACTTTTAAAGCACGTAGGTATTTTTAAATGATATTACTTTTTTAGCTAGATTATGCGATTTTAGGAAATCCATCCCCTTAGAGGGTGAAACGGGGTTTGAAAATTTGTTGTATGAAAATTCCTTACTATCTGGTCTAGACGTACGAAATTCTGCAAAAAGGTTCCCTAAGTGATTCAATTGAAGACTAAGAAACAATTTTTGCCAATTTATACAATAATAATAATGAAGTTAAAGTTGAGAATTTCTGTGAGACTGTTACCCCTGGCTTTAGCGCTAAATCATGCTTGATTGAGCGCCTCGTACGGAGAATACGAAGCAGACACACGAGAACAGGTGCTTGATTAGGTAAAAATAGGTTCATTACCGATATTTAAGTTCACAGCATAGTAACAGCTGACATGAAATTCAGATGTATACTATATATTCAGAGAGACTGCTATATTCAAATATGTATAAGTTTTGTAAGTTCAAACTGTAAAGGAAATGTATCGAAAATTCGATGTTTACGCAGACTGTCATGTCGCGGTCAGAAGCTAGTATAGAAAGCAAATAAATTTATAAAGTACCACCAAATCGAAAAACTATTTAAAAACTCTTTATTTTTGGAAAAACACCTGTCACAATTATTTTCTTTTACTAATTTTCACTCTCAATAATAATTAATAATAATATACTGAAAACAGATTTCACCTCTAAACCTAAGAAGGACTAAAACAAAAACTTATTTTTTTCAAATACATTTCATTTATTAATAAATAAATTAGAATTACACGTTTTTTAAGCTAGTGACATTATTCTAGTGATACAAAAACAACTGTTTATAATATAAATGAGAGTTAAAATATACAGACTAAAAATCAATATTAAACAAAGAAGTTTTTAAATTGTTGTAGAGCTAAAAAAATATAAATAAATGTAGATAATAACTCATCTAGGATCTGGAGCTGGGTATGGAAAAGATATGCTAGGTATGACTATAGGTTCTGCTGGTGGATAAGGCAATGATTGAGATTGAACATACGGTACAACAGGAGGGTATGGAAAAGATGTAGTGGGTACTACAGGTTCAGCTGGTGGATAGGGATGTGATTCAACCAGTGTATGAGATTCAGGAACATCATTGACTACAAGAGGTGCAGATGGTGGATGTACGACTATAGGTTCTGCTGGTGGGTAAGGAAATGATTGAGATGGAACATACGGTTCCGCAGGAGGGTATGGAAAAGATGTAGCGGGTACGACAGGTTCAGCTGGTGGATAGGGATGTAATTCAGCGGGTGTATGAGATTCAGGAACATCATTGACTACAAGAGGTGCAGATGGTGGATGTACGACTATAGGTTCTGCAGGTGGGTAAGGAAATGATTGAGATGGAACATACGGTTCTGCAGGAGGGTATGGAAAAGATGTAGTGGGTACTACAGGTTCAGCTGGTGGATAGGGATGTAATTCAGCCGGTGTATGAGATTCAGGAACATCATTGACTACAAGAGGTGCAGATGGTGGATGTAAGACTATAGGTTCTGCTGGTGGGTAAGGGAATGATTGAGACGGAACATATGGTTCCGCAGGAGGGTATGGAAAAGATGTAGTGGGTACTACAGGTTCAGCTGGTGGATAGGGATGTAATTCAGCCGGTGTATGAGATATAGGAACATCATTGACAAGAGGTGCAGATGGTGGATGTACGACTATAGGTTCTGCAGGTGGGTAAGGAAATGATTGAGACGGAACATACGGTTCCGCAGGAGGGTATGGGAAAGATGTAGTGGATACTACAGGTTCAGCTGGTGGATAGGGATGCAATTCGGCCAGTGTATGAGATTCAGGAATATCATTGACTACAAGAGGTGCAGATGGTGGATGTATGACTATAGGTTCTGCTGGTGGGTAAGGAAATGATTGAGATGGAACATACGGTTCCGCTGGAGGGTATGGAAAAGATGTAGTGGGTACTACAGGTTCAGCTGGTGGATAAGGATGCAATTCGGCTGGTTTATGAGATTCAGGAACATCATTGACTACAAGAGGTGCAGATGGTGGATGTACAACTATAGGTTCTGCTGGTGGGTAAGGAAATGATTGAGACGGAACATATGATTCCGCTGGAGGGTATGGGAATGATATAGTGGGTACTACGGGTTCAGCTGGTGGATAGGGATGTAATTCAGCCGGTGTATGAGATTCAGGAACATCATTGACTACAAGAGGTGCAGATGTAGGTGCTATTCGAATATCCACGGACACCGCTGGAATTTTAATTATTGGTTCCTTCAACTCTGCAGGAGGATATGGATACGATACTTGTGATATTTGAGATCCTGTTGTAATATCCACTGGCAATGCAGGAATTTTAATTACTGGTTCCTTAGGCTCTGCGGGGGGATATGGATATAGCTGTGGTATTTCTGCTGGAACTACATTATGAATCACTGGCTTATGTATAGGTTCAGCTGGCGGGTATGGATAATAATGATCTGCCACAACATCATAGATCAGTAATATCGCAGCAAGTGCGAATAAGTGTGCTCGAATCTAAAAACAATAAATTTGATTATCTATAAATATATTTCGACTAGTAACTTACCATCATCGCCTTAAAAAATAAGACATGTGAATGGAGACAGTTTTATTAGAACCTATTATAAATAGGTCAAATTCAACAATTACTTTCGAATGTCTGTGTTTTAAACACGTTTGTCCTAATTATATATAAATAGGCCAAAATTCCTTGATATGATAGTAAAATAATGGATTTGCTTAATTGTATTTCTTTTAAATGGCTTAGTAGTTACACAATACATATTTTACACACTCATAAAAAATATTTACTAATTAATTCTAGCACAAAAAGTATTTACTAATTCAATAAATTTAACCAAATAAAATTATACATAATTTTGGAGGCAAATTTTTCTTTACACCTGTACCATATAAAACGACTTCCATGTAAAACGTTATAAAATAAAATAAAAAATATAAATTGAAGAATGCTTATTACTTTTTTAAACGATATATACCTATATACAGAGTCCGAAAATAAAGAACTTAGAAATTTCATTTAACACATTGAGCGCCAGGGCGGACTTCCTTACAGGGCGTAATTGTCCGCTTTTGTCCTATACCGGGTGCGTCTCCAAAGTGGCTCACCCTTATACCTTTTTTATTTTTTCATATAAAAATTGAGATTTGGTACGTAAGCATATGATAAATTAGGATTGATTGACGTATTCAATTGTTTTCGGTCACTTCCTGTTTCACCGGAAATGACTACGACTTTTGATTTTTAAATGGCACTCTCGGTATTTTACTACTTTATTCGATAGAAAATGACACACTGAATAGAATGACATATCATTGAAAAATCAGTTTTATTTTTCAATTGATCGAACTGATTTCTAAAATTCGAGACGCTTCAAGTAGTTTCTCAGACCTTTGAAACCACATCTGAGAGATAATAGTATTTTCTAAAAATATTTAAACAAATATATTTCGTGCATTTATAATGTTATAATGTTTGGCCTCCAGATTTTTCTTCATAGACTTCTGTTTTCTTATTGGATGTTATTATATGATATTTGTGAACGCGTCTTCAAAATAATCGATAACCGGATCACAACACCATTCTGCGTAAACGCGAACTTTGAAATCGCGCCAATATCCGCAAAAGGTTGGAAACACTTTAACTTTCCCGCCCCCCAAATTTTAAATCTTGCGAATCGCCAAAAAATGGTGGGTGCAATTTAAAAATTCTTAAAACTTTATCATAACTTTTTTAGGACACCCTGTATACAACAAATATTTTAAGGATATGCCCCTTTATAAACCATGGAACATGTATATAACTTTTATTCATATTTTAGACGACGACGATGATATTGGACTTCCTCGCACTAATAGGCCACCCTGTATATTTTTGCATTATTTTATTTCCCTGGAACTAATCAAAACTAATTTAACTTTAACTTAGGATTATGTAAAGTGATCACAAAACGAACCCAAAAATGCAATAATAGATAGGGTATTTCATTTAAAATATACCCTCATACACTCATACTTTTTACAGTGGCTACCTATAAGCCTTGTTTATAAGGCTATAAGTGAACATATTTTTCTAAAATTCGTCCAGTATTCCGGGTGCGTCTCAAAAGTGGCTCACCCCTATAACTTTTTTATTTCTTCAGTTAAAAATACGAGATTTGGTATGTTAGTATATGACATAAATTAGGATCGATTGACGTATTCAATTGTTTTCGGTCACTTCCTGTCTCACCGGAAATGACTACAATTTTTGATTTTTAAATGGTACCCTCGGGGGGGGGGGGGGTTACTTTATTCGATAAAAAATGACACTCTGAATAGATTGACTTATCGTATGTCAACTTTTGACATTTTCGTATATGGTTTATTTGAAATTATAATTTGCGGTTCGTAACGAAAATTTGACTCGAAATACTAAATGTGTGGTATCAAATTATTCATAAAAAAATGCTTTTTCCAAATATGCTAATGAGCCACCCTCGTTCCATTTGAAAAAATTGAGATATGATTAAAAATACGATTTGAGCATTTTCTAACTGGCCAGGACAAAAGACACTATAAACATTAGACGATCAAATCTACTTTTCCAAGGCTCCTTGATTTCACATAGCCATGGCACTCTAGATTGAGTTTTAAAATACGATTTTTTATTAAGCGAGAATGTCAAAAGTTGACATATGATACATCATTCTATTCAGGATGTCATTTTCTATCAAATAAAGTAAAAAAATACCGAGGGTGTCATTTAAAAATCAAAAATTGTAGTCATTTCCGGTGAAACAGGAAGTGGCCGAAAACAATTGAATACGTCAATAGATCCTAATTTATGTCATATACTAATATACCAAATCTCGTATTTTTAACCGAAGAAATAAAAAAGTTATAGGGGTGAGCCACTTTTGAGACACACCCGGTATATTTATGTCAGAATAACTTGTATTCAGACATAAACGATTTCTTCTCTTATTTTTGTTTGTCTTATTTATAAACCTTTAGGTATACCAGAGTGATTATGGATTGTTAAATGTAAAAATCGCTACGAGTAATGTCATCATTGACAACAATTAAACATGTTATTACTAGTAGACTAGACTGAAATATTAAATTTGGAAATGTTTTTGAGCCAAATGTGGAACAGAAACTGTTCCATCAAAATTGTTTTTAGTAAAATTTATGATTAATTTAAAAAAATAAAAAGTTCACAAATTTATAATTTCAGTCAAATAACTATCTAGTCAACATGTTTATTTTTTGTCAATGATGACATGTATTGATATTCTATATCTATTTCTATTCTAAATATCTTGAGAACGGTTGCTCGTAGCGACTTTTACCAAGTGACCATTTTTATGCAGTAAATGGCGAAAATGTATATTATTTCCCTTAATAGTTTAATACAGGGGTGGACGAAAATTTATTACTCTTCAAAAAAGTTTAAAAATATGTAAGTGTCGACCTCTACAAGTAGGAGATATATTGACCTCGAAATCAAATTTGTCACGTCAAAAAATACCCAGACACCAATTTTCATCCAGTTCGGGAATTTATTTGCAAAACATAAAAATAAAAATGAAATATAAATGAACTACACCTTGTATCTCCGGAAAGAAGCGTTTTAGGACAGAAATTAAAAAATAATAATAATAACTTAAATATTTTTTTTAGATATTATCCGCATAATAATAATAATGCAGTTATTTATTCCTGTTAATATTAATTATATGAAATATATATAATTTATATGAAATCAATTAAACGTTTGAAGTACTTAAGTACTACATAACAGTTACATCTATTTTAAATGCAATCTCTACTAATGTGTTGCTGTTGATAAGATATTTAACTGAGCTTAGGGAAATAATCAACATATTGTAAAATAGAGCTTTTTACAAATTTCCTATTTTCATAAGTACATTCAGTTGGGAAAGTACACATTGCAGGGTCTACTTATCTAACATTGACAACTTTTTGATTTTCTCATTAAGAAGCCCATTAACATTAGATTTAACATACATTAGGTTTTCGAACCTATAAATAAAAAATAATTTCTTTACTTTTAACATTTACACACTGTTAGTCATGAAAAACGTAAGTATATTTATTTAAAGATAAATTGACCTGTTATTAATTATTTTATATTTATTTTTAGATATTTATATTAAGTTTAGCTGTCACATTGTGCACGGGATTACGTATCCCTGTGCCACATTCGGAATATGGAGTGCCATTAGAGTATCGTACAGTTGCGCCGGTTACCGAATCACATGTAGCTCCCGTAATTAATGAAAACTATGGGGTACCTTCTGGATCACAACCATTGGGAGAATATGGTGTTCCACAGATTCCTCAGGTACCAGTTAGTGAAACTCCAATACTTCCTGTCGTTCGTGATGATGTTGTTCCTCTTATACCGCATGAAGAATATGGTGTGCCACAAACGCCAGTAATTTCACAAGAACTTTCTAAACCTATTGAGACTATCTACAACTACAATATTCCTCATGTACCAGTTACTCAAGCTCCAATAACCCCTCTAATTCGTGAGGAATATGGTGTTCCTCTTACACCATTGGGAGAATATGGTATCCCTCAGGTACCAATAAGTGAAGCTCCAATACTTCCTGTCGTTCATGATGAAGTTGTTCCTCTTATACCGCATGAAGAATATGGTGTACCACAAGCTCCAGTAATTTCACAAGAACTTTCTAAACCTATTGAGACTATCTACAACTACAATATTCCTCATGTACCAGTTACTCAAGCTCCAGTAACTCCTCTAATTCATGAGGAATATGGTGTTCCTCTTAAACCATTGGGAGAATATGGTGTTCCACAAATTCCTCAGTTATTAGTAACCGAAGCCCCAATTCTTCCTATAGTTCACGATGCAGTTCTTCCTGTTAAACCTCATGAAGAATATGGTGTGCCACAAGTTCCAGTAATTTCACCAGAACTTTCTAAACCTATTGAAACTATCTATAACTACAATATTCCTCATGTACCAGTTACTCAAGCTCCAATAACTCCACTAATTTATGAGGAATATGGTGTTCCTCTTAGACCATTGGGAGAATATGGTATCCCCCAGGTACCAGTTAGTGAAGCTCCGATACTTCCTGTCGTTCATGATGAAGTTGTTCCTCTTATACCGCATGAAGTATATGGTGTGCCACAAGCTCCAGTAATTTCACAAGAACTTTCTAAACCTATTGAGACTATCTACAACTACAATATTCCTCATGTACCAGTTACTCAAGCTCCAATAACTCCTCTAATTCATGAGGAATATGGTGTTCCTCTTAAACCATTGGGAGAATATGGTATCCCCCAGGTACCAATTAGTGAAGCTCCAATACTTCCTGTCGTCTATGATGAGCATGTGGTTCCACTTAAGCCACATGAAGAATATGGCGTACCACAAGTTCCAGTTGTTCCTCAAGAATCAGTTGAGACACATTATGATTATAGCATCCCCCATGTAGATTTACCAGTAACCCAAACTCCTGTAGCTCCTATTATTCATGAAGAATATGGAGTTCCACAAATTCCTCA